GTTTAGTAAACATGCAAAAGCTCTGTTATAGCACGCATTGTGAAAATAAGACTTCGATGTGTTAAAAGCACCTAGATTTGTAAGGGGCAGTTTTATAAACCTTTCAAAAAATGTTTGATACTAGCATCCTATTGCTCTCTGATGTACAAGGTGGGTAAGAAAAATCAGAACGACTTTTCATTGTAAGGCACTTTTCCTCCTGTACGTAACAACCTGCTGATGAATCCAGGTGGAGAAGATGGTGTACTTGCGCCTTGGGTCGTAGGTGGTACATCGAATCCACAACTGGATACTGATACATTTAACGCCGGTTATATTCCTCGCACTGGGTCTTATCAATTTACTGGCTATAGTGGCCTCTTTGGCACACTCACACAAACTGTTCCCATTGTGAATGAATATCAAGGGATCACAATGTCTCAGATCGACGCAGGCAATCTGACTATCAGCATCCTCTTCTGGTACCGTAGCCTCCCACAAACTGTGAACGATGCTTCTGCAGTGGCCTTATATTTTCTCGATGCCTTCAATGATACTTTGAGCAATGTGACCTCTCCCGAGCAGGGACGTGGTCCCTATTGGATTTCATACTCAAACTCATATTCCATTCCCATTGGAACAAGATCAATCCAATATCAAATGAGGTTCATTCGGCACGCCGGCACTGATTTAGATTCCTACATCGATGACAACTTTATGATTATCCACTAACATATTTGCTCCTTTTTGAACAATTGAGTAAACTCGTTGCGTATTGTAGCGTCCAGCCAAAAAGACGAAATCCAAAAAATATTCTCTCAATAAAAGTTTTTGTGTACCTAGTCGAGCTAAAGTTTCTTCATACTTGGGTGGGTGTGGGATGTGGATGAGTGTGAGTGTTGGTGTGGGTGGGTCTGTGTATGAATGAAGAGAATTTCTACACACCCACACTCATACACCTATACTCACACCCAACTTTTCGACCAGAGGGTGGGTGTGGGTGTGTGGGTGTGGGAGGGTATGGGTGTGGATGGGTGTGGATGTGCGTG